CGAAAAAAAAGCGTGCTCCAAAATTCAGGGCGAAATGCCGTGCTGCTGGCCGCGCCTCACGCCTGGGGTTTTGCGTGTAAGCCGGTCCTGTTCAAATATCCGTGGTCTGCTGCTCCGAGCATCGCCGCGCTGTTCCTTCACGGAGGAGGAGCTGAGGCCTCGCATTTTATCCCGCATTTGGGACAAAAAGACGCCACGCCATCACGCCCCAGTGCCTGACCGCAGCTGAACATTACCACACGCGTCTCTGAACACCTGCCATCCGGCGGCAATTTTCTTTCTAGTATTCTGATGCTCGATGAGGTGACCGAGGAGAACACCTTTGCAAGCAGAAAGGTACAGAGAAAGGCAGGCAGAGTGGCCCCAAAGCAAATCCCTCGGGATTTATCTGGCGCTGAGGGTCGCGGTGCTCCCTTGCCTGCAGCCTCCCGGCTGCAGCGGGAGCCTTCAGTGCCCCATGACGGTATGAGCAGGGCTCAACATTATATTCTGCCCAATATACACAGCTCTGCACATCACACTGACCCTAAAATGCTAATGATACCCTTTGTTTTCTGATTAATACCACTGCCCAAATACTTAGTCCTTCATTAAATGCTGTCTTGTGTACACAGCTGCTCCAAAAAGCTCCCACAAGTTAGATATTTTATTACTCCATCAGGGGCAATAGAACTGATCTGATTCTTCACAGAACTGGAGCAACTTTCAGTGTCCAGTAGGGGATAGATGGGGTCTATGACCAGGGCTTTGTAGACACTTCACCTCAGGCTATGGGACAGATTAGACAAAGGAGGAAGATGAGGAGAGCCCTGAGTGAAGCCGTGGAGTTCAGATCCATGTGCCAACTTCTCCAGGTGCCAGCGGTGCCCACTTGCACTGGTGTGCAACATCAGTGAGAGAATGATCTCTGCCTCCTGCCTGCACTCACCGGGAAGGCTGCTGTGCTCTGACACTTTCTTGCGGTAGCTCCTTGCAGCATTTTGTTTTATTCCTCACTTCTGACTTGTTGTTTATGGGTATTCAGTAACCACAGGCTACAGTGCAAGAGCCCCGTGTCTGATATACAGCATGTGTTTGATACTGTGCTGATGCCCCGCTCTTGGGAATTAATGGGATCAGAGAGGTCCCAGGGACCTGGTAAATCTCATTCCACAAACAGGTTGCTCCCTCCGAAACCTGCTGCGCTCCTTTGCCCTCATCCTTAGCGAGGTACTGGCTGAGCACCTTCTTCACAGCTTTTGGGCGACTCCACGCTACAGATGAGACACAGGTAATGAAGTAAGAGTGGAAGGTGAGAGCAGCAGCCGCTTCATGCCACAGCTCATCATTTGCAGCATGAGGTTTGGTTGAAGTCTTACAACAGGGCAGCGAAGAGACAAAGAAGAAAAGCTTTTTCTCTGCTAGAGCACCTGCAAATCTCAGGCTGAAGATTTGTTTCAAGTGGCAGACAGCCTAATAAATCTGGACTGTCACAGCCTGGTAGCTGGTCTCAGCTTTTGCTACTGCAAGTGAATTGCTTGCTGTGTTACAGATAAGAGGGATCCAGTTACAGATGGGATCTAAGCTTCTGTGAGGGCAGAGAAAGGTCCTGGGCATCCACATCCCAGCTGCTGCCACTGCTTGACTTCCAGAGGCAAATGATCTATCCTAAAACCTGCATTTTGAATCAGTGGCCAGCACAAGTGGGGAAGACCTGTGAAGGAGAAGAGAGTGGGACTGAGGTATTAAACCATTCACCTCCCGCAGCTGCCCCAGACGAGGTAGGCAAACCTGGTGTTTGTAAGGAAGCATTACTGCAATTTATGCTCTGGAAGTCGATGCTTTGTGTTGGTAGTCCTGCCAGTGCCTCTGCTGGCATTAAGATGCTGTACAGATGCAAGGGAGACAGTAAGGCAAATTGGTTGCCCCACTATTATTATTTAGTCAGATGTTTAACATTTGTTCAGCAAGGAGATTGCCACCCTCCTTTTGGGCAAGGACCTTACGCTGTGGTACTGCTGCTCTGGCTGCGGTGCTGGCCAGAGGCTGCAAGGGTCCAGTGCACAGTGATGCCACAGCATGGGAAGCCCCAGCTGCAGATCCCGTGTGCCTCGGGGGGTGTTGGATACAGATGCCTGCAGACACCCTGGCAGACTTGTCGTCCTGATCATAAACAGGGTTTTAAGAGGTTGGTTATGACCCGCATGGCACTGACCAGACTTGACCATTTAAAAGGTGCATGTCCAAATGTCACATCTTGGTATCCAGAGTTTAACAACAGCTAATAAAGAACATAGATAAAACACAAGTTCTGTACCCTCATACCTGTCCCACACACTTGACTCGCTAGTGGTGCTCTACCAGCCTCTCTTCCTCATGCTTTCAAAGTCTCCTGCCAGCAGGTACTGAATCCATTTGGCCTGGCACTCCGGTAGCCAAGCTTATCTGCGGGCAAAACAGCAAAGAGCGTGTCCTCAGCTCCCCTTTTCCCTGGCTGTGGAAGAAGGCAGTGTCCGTTCCTCCAGGGAAGGTGCACAGCCTCGCAAGGCAGCACTGTTGCCTGTGACCAATGACTTGTATTAAAGAGGCTTATTAGACGGTGGTAGTGCCTGGGAACCCAAGCCGCGGCACTTTGTCCAGCAGTGGGTGTTGCTTTCTGCTCCTGTGCATCGCAGGTGCTGCAGTCTTGGACTGGTTCCTGGCATACCTTCGGGTTTTCCCACCTTTGCCTCGAAGAACCTCCCAGGTGATGCATGCTGGACTGACAGCCACCTCACGCTCTCACTCAGGGAGGGTGGGAAGCCAGCTCTGCATCTTTGCTAAATCACCGCTTTTCATTTTTTTGAGTGGGGAAAATAAGAGCTAACAGTGATACACCCACATGCCTGTCTGGCTGCAAACACACCGAGCGTGGCACAGTCTGGAACAGTCATCCCTCAGATACATCGTGCAGAGCAAAACAAGATCTATACCTTAAAGTACACTGTTACCTGTAATCTGTTCTAGTGTGGCTGCCTAAAGGAAGAGAGAATAATAGAATAAAATAAGTAGATTTTTCCAGTTAACATAAATCTAAGCCTACTTTGTTATATAGCAAGTCAAGTTCTGCTGCTGCTGTAGTGTGCAGTTTGATTTGGGGGCAGGGAGACACTAATAAACTCGTTAGTATTACTGGATTCTGCATATTGGTATAAAAACTCTTGATCTTCATGACATTAATCTATTTTTTTTTCTGTAATGTCTTTGGGTTCACTGCACCTCTTTAAAAAAAGCCTGCGGTTAGCACGGCAGGCTGCCCAAGGAGCTGGCAGCGGGTGTCGAAACCACGCTCTGAGCCCAGTGGTTGCGATGGGTCTTTGTGGAGTACCACCACAGAAGCTGTCCCATCTGTATTTTGGCTGAGAACTAACTAAGCTTTATAAAAATCAGGGCTCACGCCGAATGCCTCGCCTTGAGTTTTGCTTTCCTGTACTGCTGCCAACTGGGTTTGAACAGCGGAGCTTCACGTGCCAAATCTCCCCCGGGGCTTCAGGAAATAGGGCCACCCGTTTTCTGCTTGTCTCCCACACCGGTAGCACCCATGGCTTCTACTCGCTGCCCTCTCTCTTCCAGCTGGCCAGAGTTTGGGCAGCACGAAGCTTTTAACAACTCTGTTAATCAGTGCAGGTTGTTTTTAGGAGTTGCTCTGCTTGAAGCGAAAGCGCCTTGCCGTGCCCATGCGCAGTGACCGGCTGTCCCCAGCCAAAGTGACACCCCTGCCCAGGTAGGGCTCTCGCTTCATGTCCTGGTGGGGCATCCTCCTGTGGTATGGAAATGCTTTTCTTCCCTTTGAAATAGCCCTTGTCTGCAGAAGACATAATTTAATAGGGTTTTGTGGTGAGGGCTGAGTTTATGAGAGGGAGAAAAAAGGCTTTTTCATTGCCAGCAGGCTCTCCAGGATCCCTTTGAAATAATCGCTGACTGCTGCCAGGATTGGTTTTGTTGTAATGTTAATGATCTCTCTGGGCACCTTGAGTTTTATATACACATCTTTTTAATTATTCAGATAAAAATAGCCAAGGTAAAGCTGCAAAACAGTCATGCTGCATTTTGGTTTGGATTTAGAAAAGGAGTTAATTGTAACTTTAATGACGTACAAAGGTACAAGTACATAGGAAATGCAAAACATCCAGAATTTAAACTACTTCTTCTGTGCTATACAGAAGTACCTGTATCTAAGTCCACATTATGTGCAATTCCAGCAGTTCCCTAGAGTTTACCTTGCACTTTCTGGTAAACAAAGCCACTTTCTGAGGTGACTCATACCCTGAGACTGCCCCAAATGATGTAAATAACTTGGTATTCCTTGCTTTCACCAAAAAAAAAAAAGGCTTTGCATGAAACCTCCTGCTTTCTGCACGTGGAAATACTCAGGCTGGCAGCTCGCTGCTAAGTTGGTCACATCTGTAAGCTGTTAATACAGAGCCAGATAAAGGAAGAAGATACTCAGCTGACAGACCTACAGTCTCACGATCCTTTAGTTGTTTTTATTTCATTACAAGCTTTTTGGATGACTGACAACCCTCATAATGTCATGGGGACAGTTACACACTTTTATAGTCAGATCTTTCATGTAAAACTTGCTTGGTAGCCGAATAGCGTTGGGAACCAGCTACAGATTGCTTGCCATAGCCCGGTGCAGTGGCTCCCAGTCTTTGCCCGCTTATAAGTGCTCTCCCTCTCCCATTTACAGCATCCTCTGGTCAGAAGAATTAAGATTTGCAGTATATACTGCTGTGACCTGGTTGGCATCTCAGTTCATATTTGATTAATAATAGAGATAGATGACGTTCTTGCAGATTTCCTTAAACAGATTTCCTTTCCTTACCATATCTACTCATTTCAAAAGATGCATACGGTCTTCAGATATAACCCTGTTAAGTAAGAGGTGTTTTCTGTTGGAAAACAAGTTGTTTAATGCATCTGCCTTAGATTAGCTAGCAACTAGCCTAAGGTGGTAATGACAGATAAAAGCAGTAGCTGCTGCAGGCCTTGCAAAACAGGGTAATGTACCACTAGCGAGCACAAACCCTGCCAATCCAGGGCAATAGGACCATAAAATGTGAGGAGAAGATCATTCCAGTGCGACACATTTGTCTACAAATCAACTCCCAGCTGAAGGCAGCGGGAGGAGAACAAGAAGGGGTGGAAACAGGGAG